CACAAATTGACTGTATGCAGATAACCATCCAAAGCTGGAAGAAAATGCACAACTTTTCAACAATCCTTTAAAAAATCACTTTTAAAATGATCTTATTTATTTATTAAACATCTCTGTACTTCTTGCCAATGTGTAAATATTTTAATATCAAACCCGAAATAGCTCTATTTTTCAATGATAACTACTTCTGAAAAGTGATTAAAACGTAGATAGTATTTTGTGAGAATAATATGATGTTCATTTTCTTTTCAGCATGACTCCTATATCCTAATGTTTCACTTTACCTATAGTGAAGGAAGACTCGGTAAAGATAACCAATCTATTGTTTAGTCCGAATTTCAAAATATGATAACCATACGTAAAATACATCATTTGCTCATTTTCCTTCAGTTGTCCTTTAAATGCTTCATGATTCTTTCAATTCTGTTTTCATTAAAATGAGTCTCTATTTACATTCCTGTTCTCTTCAATTTGATCTTCTCAATCTTCTAGTGACAGGCATTCCACTTATAATTGGTTTTACATACTACTTATATCTGTCAACATAAGTAGCATACAGCATATACTGAATTTTAATTTTGTCATGAAATACCTAAATTGATCAGCTTAGCGAGTCTAATATTAAAAATTGTTATTCAGGTTAATATGTTCAATTAGTAAACAGATCAGTTTTCATGAGATGATATCGACATTTGTCGTACCATGAAACTGTATTACTAATCCGTGAACTAAAATCTGATTATTATTTTGATTAAGTTATTATGTAGCATATTCATTAGGGTTTGACAAAGATTTATTTAAATATTAGTTCAATAGACCTCAGCCATAGAAATACTTATCATAAAATAATGCAATATTAATGATCACTGAACTTTAATCTTCTTAAAATGATTGTCTACATTAATGAACATTTTAAGGTCAAATAATATTTGAATCCGATTAAGTATCAATGAAGTTCACAGGCAGTGATTATGATTATTTTATGTAACTTAGAAGTGATATGGTCGCACAAACTAAGATAACAGATGGTTTGTCTGCCTGTCTTTACTGACAAACTGTCTGAATTTGCCATATCCATGCGTATTAGTCAATTCAACTGCTCCTATGCAACCAGTTATATAGAGTGTACAATCCAACAAGTCCGTCATCACATACCACACTACCATCCGTCTTGGTTGATTAAAGGATAGGTAAAAGTGATTAAGAGTTCTATTCTCACTGACTTGGTGAACACAGGTCATCAATTTGACGTGAATAAAACTTTTAAGGTTATCCATCATATTCCATCAAATTCACTACATAATTTGCGAGTTCTTCTTTCTCACATTGTTAAAGCTATCGGAATCTATGTTCACAATCCTAACTTGTACATCCAACAGAAGTTTATACAATCACTCTTGCTACCTTGAGCCATCGGTAAAACAGTGGGTTTTTAGCTGAACCGTGATTAAACCCTTTCCTTCAAAAATATCTAAACGATTTTCTAAAATTCATCGTTTGATTCTTACACAACTACTATAACAATGACCTTTCACCCAATGTTTAGTTAGTCCCTTCTTATTATATATTATGAAACTTAGCAGTTGTTTGATTTTTCGAGTAATCACCTCACAGTTATTATTTTATAATCTATGTGTCATCACATAATTATTACATAACGCAATTACTCTATGATTACTTCCCAAATGAGGTATAAATGACATAAAATGTAATAAGAGTCGTGATACACTTGCGTTATTGCAGCAGTTATCTCCAGTGAGTCGTCTGTGATAATCTCAACCAAATCTTGATCGTCAGTTGAGCGCTCGGAGAATGACAGAAGTCGTGACAACAGTACCAAGGTCTCACGACTTTTAGTGGTTACGCAGACAAGTATTGCAATTGAGTTCATGTCTGAAGCCACAATTTGATACAAAACAACTCTTAGGTACCGTCAAAACCAGCGACATCAAGGATACGACGTGTAAAATTGGTGTAATCGGCAGCTGAGAAGAAAAAAATATTGAAGATCATTTTTTAATCTATTTGATACTCCCAAAACCCACTAAATGACTTGATGTAAGCTTACAATTTGCCATAATCATCTACTATTCATGATATTAATAGGAACATTACTTAACTGGAATACTGACCTATGGGGGCACTTTATGACGCATATTAAGTGCATCTTGAGGATTCAGGCTCTTCCCATGAGATTGGTGCACAAACTGTACAGCATTGAAAGCTGCTGTCCTCGAAATCAGAAGAGGTCGGATAGTTCTGAACTTCAAGTCAGTTGGCCTGAGTATCCCGAATTATTGTCGTACCTCAGGAAATTGAATTCATGATCATGGTGTACAATACTCCGAACAACAGTTCAGTAACCTTCAATAAATTTCCAACAAATGAAGGCAGGATGCTGGATGTTTATTGCAGCTCTTCGGGAAAAATATAATAACATTAATCAACTTACGTTCTTGGTCTAGTAAGCTGTGCAGATCCACGGACAATTCTACGACCATCTCTTCAACACAAATATTATATACAGCTTCTTATTCTTATGAAAATGGAATCACGAACCGGATTATGTCAGTATGTTTCCCTTACATAATCTCTGATAGCGCTTTCTAACGCCTCAAGCAACTGGAACGCTACCAGATACAGCGTACTCAAAACGCATTATTAGTGTCCGTCACAACGTTGCAATGTTTACATTTTATATAACTCTTCAGAAAATAACTAATAATTACCATTTTAAAACTAATCATTTTATTGAACGAAAGGAGATGAAAATCAGATAGGATAAAAGTATCTTTGATTGAACTAAACTACAAATATCACCGTGCTCCATATGTGATAGCAATGTGTAGTGACGATAAAGTGATCTCAACAAGTGATATATATATTTTAATCGATCATAACTTTTCATTATCAGAATGTAGGATTATAGAAGACCTGTTACAGAGCAATGCCAGAGAAGCCCTATTCACTGCTTTCTCTCGGGATTACTGTTGTTTACGAAATTGAGAGAACAAAAAGCGAATGTCTGGCGCTTTAACCGGATTGGAGAGTACTGAGGATCAACCTAGGGAAGTTGGGAAACTATGATTCCAAACCAGTGGTGCACACTGGCTTCAGGATCCTGAAGGAACAAATGGCGTGTGGACCAATTGTTGGTCACTGGCTACCATGGGAGTGAATCTCCTAACGTTTATCCACTGCCGTGTGGATCAGATTTTTAGGTCGAAGGCTCCAGGTGCTGACCCCTGAGAAAACTACTTGCCTTGGTTTGGGCACCCGTGTAGTATTCCAGCCCTCACACGAATTGAATGATGAATTGTGGTGCATATATATTTGGTACTACCTTGTACCAATGTTTATGTGTTTAAATAAATAAATAAAGTAATACATGTCTTGCATTAAAAAAGTTCTGTAACCGATGACAAATAGCTTTTGATACGCAAACTCTGTAAAAGGAGGTCAAGAGTCTACAAATAAATACCTAGAGTAAATACCTGTCTGGCAACTATATACACCTGTTCAAGTAAATATGAGTATTTATCGTAAGTTGATTTTGTTTTAGGCTTCAGAAAAAAATAGCCTAATTGTTAACATTTCTTAATGTAATACTGGGTGACTGTTCGACTCTCAGGAGGGAGTATTAGTTCCCTCAAGTTTGCAGATCCCCCACCTGATGATGAGTGCCAACTAGCACAAAATAAAATACTTAGGGCCTCTCGCTTACTCTCTCCACACACCTAACATCCAGATATGGTGTATGAAATTTCGAACCACGCAGATCAGTAACTACTGTAACTGGATCAAAATATTTCAACAGTTTAACTGAACAAGACTGATTGATACCGAACGATATAGGTGTGTAGGTAAGACTGCGGATGAATGTTTTATTACCCACAAACTGATCAGCAACCATGTGAACAATATAATGAGTTATATCAGATTTATTTAACTGATCAGTAATCAAATTCAATACATTGAGCTAATTAGGATTCGGGAGAAATTATTCAATAATTCAATGTACATATACAATCTACAATATTAACAGACTATCTCCTCTAGGATACAAGTATAGCTAAATCACTGAGTTACATATTTACTCCGTAAAACTGACTACATTGTGGTTGGTCGAAACGATTAACAGTGAATTGTAAAACAACACCTCACTGGTTACTTATGAGTGGTCCATCAATATACACGAGTTTCCCTATTTATCCGAGAACTACTACAATCATCATCAAAAATGTAAAACCATTTACATACAGCTGTCCACTCAAAATACTCCAAATCCGTTGACCAGACATTAGCAACAATAATCTACTGTGACAGAGAACAAAGCAGATTCCAGTTAAATAAGAAATTAGGAAAATAGATGAACACATATTGAAGAAATCATCAAGCTGGATCACAATGCAAGTTTTAATTCGAAATCCTGAATGTAAACTTGATAGAGATGGCCAACAGAACACACTACACAAAGAAATGGAAACATATATCCAAAGAATAAATAGAACTTGACAATAACTGGAAAGAAGAGCCATAAAAACCCAGTGAGTTGGACGTTGCTGATTGTCAATCTATGCTCTATAAAGGTTAACAAACTTAAGTAACTAATGTGTTAATAAAATTATATCTTGATTCAAAAATCTTAATTATTATACTGAACTGTTGTCAAAGTTACTTGTTTCATATTAATTAAATAATACGACATAAGTAAATCATGTGACCATCGTTCAATAGTACACTAGATATGCGTGTTTTTTTTGTCGTTATTGTTGGTGGTGGTGGTGATGGGGGTGGTGGTGGTGAATGAGAAAAAAAAAGCAACCAATAAAGCACTTCCAAAATTTTTTTGTGTGTGTGATTTTGTTGTTCTTGTTGTTAAATACTCGGAAATTTTCATTATCAGTTAGAGAAATAAAATAAAATTCATATCAATAATGAGTTATTATATAAAATTGACAAATAGTTGGATTATTATTTTAATTATTCTATATATATTCATGAATTTATTGATGATATTATCAACACAATTAGAATATCGTATACAAAATGGTTATCCAGTAAAACCTGGTGAATTTCCAATGATTGTATTATTACTTGGTAATACACATTTATGTACTGGAACAATTATAGCACCTGATAAAATTTTAACAGCTGGACATTGTGCATGTGGTGATCCAACATATGAAGTAGGTAGGCAAGAATAAATTTTGTTGTTATTGTTGTTTATTTATGGTTTATGATAAATATTTGTATAATGATTTTTAATATAATTGAATGAATGATAGTTACCAACATTTAACTTTTAAACAATAGATAGGTGGCTAGTATTAGAATTCAGGATGCAGGTTTCGTCTTATTTGGAACTCGTCAGTTGAATGTATTTGAACCTCAGAGTTAATATTCATTTCGGGACTCGAACTCAACATCATTACATTATCTCGACATAGCTACGGAGTGAATATCAATTCTGGGACCCAGATACATCTATCTGTTGGGTTCTAAGTAGGACGAAACGTGCGTCCTGGATTCCACTATTAGCCACCATATATCTCTACTTATCATGCTTGTGACTTAATGATGATATTGAGGCAATCCATACAAGATGTGCATATTCTAAAACAGACTGATCAATTGTAGTCGTAAGCATTAATCGGAAGATTCCAGCAACTAATACAAATAGATTGTACATCATGAATACTTATTCGTCAGTAATAACAATCACGTAGATTATATTAGCTTACAAAATTCAACAACCCTTCTCCTAGATTTAGATGCGTACATTCTTCATACTATATAGCTGCAAAGTTGTTGGTCCTATGCCATAGAGACCCTACAAAAACTATCTATAAATAGAAGTGTTAGATTTTTCCCTCTCCACTGTTTTATCTAGAATTGTCCCCATTGCTATGTTTGCGTATCGTTGCTGTTATTGTACATGTTTGGTCTGTGATCTTACTGCTCATATTTAACGATCAGGAATCACTGCAATTCCGGTATCCTATTACGGCTCAAAATAAGAACACGAAGGATTGGTGAGATGAAGATTTCTCAGCTTTTCAAACTCACGTCGTCATTAGGCCAAAATAAGTATTTTTACCCACGCTTTATAATATATATATATATATATATATATATATATATATATATATATATATATATATATATATATATATATATATATATATATATATATATATATATATATATATACTGAAAAAACTCCATAAATACACATTCATCAGTAATAACCACCAACTAACTAATGATTAACTTTAAGATGAATTTTTGAGCGTCTTACTAAAAAACTGTGACCCATGAAGTGATTAATATCGTGTATGAAACAGATAATATTGAATGATGACTGCTTTGTTTCAAGTTGAAATGATAAACTATTGGATTCTAACTCATTTGTTCAATGTTATCTTGATTACTGGAAGACTTAAATATCTTCATTCTAATTGTAAATGAGTTATGTGTATGCGTACACTAGGGTTGCCCACTGCTTCCAGGTTCCCAAAGGTGGTCTAACATCAATCGGTTCACATTCTCAATCAAAAACTAGGGAGGAATCTTGAATGAGGTCAAAAAATTTATTTATTCAATGCTTCAAAGATTTCATTGGTTAGATAATCAATTTCAATTGATGACAAAAAATCTTGTATATATCCATTGTTTAAAGTAAATAACAACCTATTAGAATGAAATAATTCATTTATCTAGAAACTAAAATAGTAACTTGTAAAGTTATCTTACCGTTCTTACAGCTTTACTATGATTGTAACATATCTGAATGATATCTCGCTTCTATTTAAAACAAATCCATAACGATAGAAAAAGTTATATGCATTGAATTTTAGTAATGTTGTACTGTCTAAACTAAGTACTTTGTGTTTGATAAGTTTCTGTATCAATATTACACAACAGTGTCTTGGTGGTCTACTTGAATATCTGGGCTACCTGTTCCTCTCATCTAGATCTTTCAATAAGTTATCTGTTTTTATTTGTTTTAACATATCATTATGTCTATCAATCACATAACCTATTCAGGTGCGTTTATGAAAAGTTTAAAACCTTTCGCTGTACAAATTACAGAAAAGTACAATCAGCGACATTATGGTTGCTGGAAATATATATTGAAAAGAATGAAGATTATTCAGATGTCGATTCTTGAACTGCTAATATTTAACTGGCGACAAATCAGTATTTATCGCCAGGATCGATCAAGAAATAAGAAAAGGAAACTTGTCGAAATACTCTGTGCCGAGATTTCTATATTGTACCAAAAATATAATAAAGCCATTAATACTAATAATAATAACGTGATTTTTAGGATAATCTCCTAACAATGAACTCAAATAACTGACCCTATGACTTCGAATTTTTTCAAATACTTTTTCTCATGAACCAATGTGGTATCTATTTCTCTAAGAATCATGCATTTAACTTGATGAATTATCATAATTTTCTTAAATGATTGATTTATTCAACTCTAATGTTCATAACCGATAATCAATTATCAATGTACTACGTTTTCATTATATTCCATATGTCCCCGTCTTGTCATTTCAACACCTCTATATCACTTTAATTGATTGCATAATTATAGTTGGGTTCAATCTAAAATATGTCGAATAATATTAAATATTTGAAGGAATTTTAATTTTTACATTTGAATTCACGAGCCAATTTAACCTAGACCACCATTAAAACCTGGAAGGACTGGGCGACCGTTTTGTCATAGTATGAGACTCCCAGAAGTGCACATCCACAACCCTGCACGCGAAATTCGAACACAGGACCTTCGGTCTCGCGTGCGAACACTTAACCTCCAGACCATACTGAGTCAGCATCCAAAGGTGTTATTGTCTAACTTCAGTCGATTCATGACATTGTGTAATCCTTCGTCCATTGTCTGATATAGAGAGCTGTCTCATACTTGATACGGATTGAACTCCACTGGTTACGGCTTTTGTATTAGAACTCCAAGAAATTCATCTTGAATTGTAATTCTTTAGTAATAGATAAACATTAGTTTCAGCGTTTTTACTTGATGACAAATTAGCTTCGTGTAGATGTATTTATTATACTCAGTCACTACGTATTTAATTGTAAAACATTAGTTAGTAAACAGACCAGGTTAAAAATTATACGATTTCCAGTTAGCATCCAATATATATTTATAATCGATTATTCGAAGACTATAAAACTATAGAATGTCTTCTACAATTAAGTTTGTTTACGATCAACTTTGTTGAGCTCTTTTACTAACTTATTTAACAGACAGTGTTATTAGAACAGCAACAGTTTGTCTATGCCTTTGTATTATTATTATTACTATCTTGTCTGTATGACATGTATTGTTGGTTATATGTGACGGCCTACTCATATATATCTCTCTAGCTTAAATGTTAATTACTTAACTAACGCTCGATGAATCATTCGCTTTCCCATATGTATATGTGCTTAAATCTAATTAATTGCTTTGCTTCGATCCGATTCGATTTGACTCTGGAGGTACTCATCAGGAAACCCTGAACCTAAATTTCGTGATACTCATTGCCTTCTCACGGCAGGGGTGTTGTTTAAGACGTTACTCCACTGCCATGTGGATCAGACCATTAGGTCGAAGGTTCCGGGTGTTGCCCCCTTCAAGAAAACCACCTGCTTCAGTTTGAGCACCCGGGCAGTATACCAGCTCTCACAAAAATCCAATGATTTATGTGGTGCGTAAATATTTAGTACCACCTTGTACCAATGTTTATGTGTTTAAATAAATAACTAAATAATAAATACTTGACATTCGTCAACAAGGTGTACCTGTAATCTTAAAAGAACTAATACTCCCTGACGAATTCGATCCCGTGTCACTCAGTTTTATAGTCAGAGACGTTATCACTGAGCCACTACTAATATTGAAATATCTTATATCTTATTTTTTTTTCTTTTTTATATTTTAGGTTCATGCAAATTTAACACATATTGATGAACGTTTTTCACCTCATACACAATTTCGTTTCGGTACACAATTTAATTATCCTATCAGTTATAAAAATCAATGTGATCAACTTAATCATGGTTTTATTGATAATCATGATGAATTTGGTGGTTCACCTGATATATCAATATTAACATTGAATAAAAAATTTAATCTTATAAAAGGATGGATTGAAATTGGTTCATTAAATTATAATTATTCAATAAATAATACAAAAGAAAATAATAATGAGGATTTTTTTGTTTTGGGTTATGGTGAAGATAAATCAATGGAAAATTCAATAGGTCAATTACGTTTAGGTAAGTAACTAGTTCTCCCTTTCTCTCTCTGTCGCTCTTTCTCTCTCTCTCTTTCTCCCTTTCTCTCCCTCTCTCTCTTTTATATATACATATATAACTATGTATAATTCTACTTATATAGGTATAATAAAATTAGGTGAATGTCCAAAACATATTAAAATACCAACGAATGGAGCAATTTGTTCTAATATTAATCGTAATCATCAAGGACCAGATGTTGGTGATAGTGGTGGTCCTATATTTGATATTAATGGACATGTTATTGGTATTACATCAATAGCTGGAAATGGTTGGTATGTATTTTCAAGTGTTACTACACATAAAACATTTATTCAACAAAATTTATATAATGATACTATTAATCCGACTACTGATGGTAATACTACTACTATTACTACTACTACTACTACCACTACTACTACTACTACTACTACTACGAATAATAATAATAATAATAATAATAATAATAATAATACACTGAACTATTCCAATTCAACAGATCTTTCATAATTTTCTTGCTCTTCTAAAGTGCTGACATTTTCTTTGAATAAAAATCTTTCTTTTTTCCCGCGTATGTGATGTAAGTATTTTGATATTAATAGAATATTTTTGTGTGTTGAAATTAAAACAAAATCTTATGAAAATTAATCTGGTATGTATATTTTATTAATTTGTTTTTTAGACTATTTTGTTATGTTAAATATTTACTTACTTACTTACTTACTTATGCCTGTTAACCCTTGTGAAGGAGCATCAACCACCTACCAGGATTCTCCGATTGAATTTTGTCTTTGATATTCTTTTCCAGTTGTTTTGATGTCTGTTTGCATTTCTCGGCTCAATGTGTAACTTGGTATTCGTCTTCTCCACCCTCCCTTTAAGGATTCCGAGTTAGGGGTTATCTTGTGATCTAATTTGGGGATTTCCACAATGTATGTGCTGTGCAACTAAAACGTCTTTCCCCAATTTCGTCTTTAGTTGGAAGCTTTAAATATTTTCATTTTGATGTCTATTGGTTAATCCTCCCTTATTAAGGTTTAAACAATAAGATTATTAGAATTTTGAGAACTTGAGGTTTTTTATAGGATGAATTCGTGTTGGTATTTGCGGATCCTGTAGTGTGCATCCGTTATCATGAGGTGTACCATTTTTCTTCCACTTTGCTCAGCTATTCTCCATCCTAATGAGCAGTTGATTTGAGGTCTATATCTTACACTTGTTGGTAGAACATCCTGGCGAAGACACTCATGGAAAAAATATAGTTGTTCTCGAGTGGAAGCCTGCCTTTTGGCGAAATTCTCCCATTTTCGAACAACGAACAACGCTTCTCGTTGTTCGATAGGATGAATTCGTTACAGATCTATTAAAGATGGAGTACTGTTGAAAACCATGGGATTCTACCCAGGTTTTTTGTTCTTGTATGGAATTCCTAGGCAGTGAGCACACAAAAACCTGTCACTGCAGATTGAACGTAGGAAATTGAATTCTCGAGGTGAGTTCTTAACCTCCGGAATCCTGAGAAGTCTCATTCTAGGACAAAACAGATGTCCAGCATTGATGGTTTTCAATGATTGTCTAAGTAGTATTGATTCGTGATCCTGATAAGATTCTGTTTATTCACTACAACTTATAGTTTACATCATAATCTTTACATGGTATAATCAATGAAGAATTCAGTCTGGTTCATGATCAAGTTCATTTTTAGCCTTCCTTATTTAAATTTGAAAGTATATCATTAATTCATCAACATGCAAGTTTTACTCTTTAATTACTTAACGATTCTAAGAAAATGGTTGAAGTAGGTAATCAAACGCTTTGGAAATAGGTGTATATATTCACCTTCAGACCGAATATTAAAATTATGAATGCTACTTTACAAACATTGTATGAAATACTATCAGATCAGCTTTTCAGATTCTTAGGTAAGCCCATCTAATTAACAGTCTAGCAGGACAACCATTTATGGACGACCTCAACGTGACGCTGAGAAAGTTCACCTTAACCGTAGGATCTAAAGAAGACCATAAATTAGTATAAGAAGTCAGCACCGGGATTTAGAGTTAAAAGTTAGGTTTATAGATTAGAGTTGAGGGTTTTCACCACGAACCAACATCAGCTATAATCCCAAAATACTACTTAGGTTTGGGGATAAACTCTACATTGTGAAGTCATCTAAGTGTATCGTAGTCAGTAATTACGGTCATGTTTTCATTTATTCAGTCACTCTGTTGTCGATATTTTATAATAATTTCTATTGTAGAATTAATTGGAAGCATGACTTTTGCTTTGTTGTAATTTTTCTTCTACCATAACTGACTGCACTACGCCTTATATGTCCGCAGCATGGTGAAACGGCATTTTCATCGTAGAAAACTTTCCGTTATTTGTGTAAGCCAAGAAATACGACAACAAGTGAAACACTCTTTCCATCATGAATTACGATTCAGTAAATAAGAATTCCCGCTTCATTACGGTTGGTTGCCAGGTGCAAGGTCAAAATTGAGATTGAGTGTGAAGTTTATCCCCCACCCCTGTTTGGACATACGAACGAATGAATTCCGCACCAAACTCTAAGACACGCTACCTTAAATCTGATTGGCACAATAACAGAAGGATGAAACTGTTTATTTGATACAATATATACTTTTAAGTTAATATGAAATAAAACACGAATTTTAGGGTAAAAGAAAATCGTTAAATCATGACAAAACTGGGTTAAATGAACATATATTGACATTTATTACACTCTTGTACAGTATAGCATACTTAGTAAATAAATGAGTTTAATACAATGTGTCCTAAATTTTATTGTTTATATGACCTGAATCGACTTAGAACACTAAAATATAATGAATTAGAGTTAGATTATTATTCGAACGGAAATTATCACTTAAACTAGTTTTCATTATGAACTGACAGCATTCATAAAAATTACAGAAAAGAACAGTGAACATGAAATCACCGTTTCTTCCAATTCCTGGACAATGTATACTCGTTAGTATGCACATATAACCCTATATACAATTAAACTATTGGAGACGTCAGATCCCCAGAACTCACTGGGGAAAGGACCTAATTTTGTAATTTTATTTAGAAAATTTGAATTTCTTTGTTTTCGCGCCAAAGGCGCTCTTGTCACCTTCATGTCGTATTTCCCACTGGGAAATATCTTAAATGCTATTGGTCCGTTGCGTCTTTTAGTATGCTATTTGGTAACTCTCCCCAAGGACGGTTTTGTACTGTATATATATATATATATATATATATATATATATATATATATATATATATATATATATATATATATATATATATATATATATACGTTTTGAATTGTGTTTGTTGTTATCGCTCGTTTCTGGCTGTTTGCAGAATATACTAACCCATTCCAAGCTTGGACTTCCCCTCTAGTTAACGGGGCTGGGACGCATCAATAACTAGCTTACTGGTCTTACTGGTCACCGAGTCTTGTTTCTCGTTCTCGGATTAAGTGAACTCGTGATAGCTTCAACCCTAGCATAAACTTAAAGCGAAAACAATACGTTTAGATCTAAAAATTTAAAACCTATAATTAATATTCCGAACTTCTGTCAGTCTCTTGATTTTCAGTTATTTTCCAGTATGTATCACAGTTTGTGATGTCAAACAATTTAAAAATAGATTCGTTGAATAAAATTGATACGTATGAAAATTTAAGATTACCACTTGGTTACAGGATGAAGTGATAAAAATAAGTTGCTTCCCTCAGACAATCACTATCTGTAAAGACTATGTCTCCCAACAACGATCAACTTAGTTTAACCCTGAAACTAGCCTGCCTTACCTTGCCTTACAGGCCTTAAAATTACGAAGCAAACACATCGGAAACTACTCAAAAAATAACCATGGGTAACAGGCTCTGCAGACTCGATTTCAGGTTGTTAACTCAACTTACAACCCGGTTTTCGCTCAAAAAGCTTCTCGAAAAATCACACTTTCACGTTATAGGTAATCGTGATATGATAACCGATTTCATATCTCTAATAAAACCTGAGATCACCTCGAGTTATTAGATATTAATCATAATCAGATTGTTAAATTGATAAGTTCTGGCAAATTTAACTATTAACTGAGATTTCCAGTCCATGAACTGATAAACGGTATCTACTAACTTCAGTGATAAATCCTTGAAGATAATTGATGAAAAGTACTCATCCACGATCCTGACTGCGCGATTCGAACCCAGGGCCTCCAGTCTCGCACGTGAACGCTTAACCCACTGAGCCAGCATCCAATGGTGTTAATGTCTAACCTCAACCAATTCACGAAGTTGCACGACCATCTTCCATTGTACTGAGTTAGACACCTGTTTCTACCCGACACAGATTAACTCCACTGGTCACGGTGGTCCGTGGGTTCAAATCCCGCGAGCAGAATCGTGGATGCGCACTGCTGAGGAGTCCGACAATAGGACGGAACGGCCGTCCAGTGCTCCCAGGTTTTCATTGGTGATCTAACATCAATTGGTTCATGATCTCAATCAAAAACTTATCAATCTCCACAACCCCTAAACTGATGATAAAATTAGTTTATATTGTAAACTAGAGAAACTAGACCTATCGTCATATCTATATAAAATTTGGTTAAAGATTTGAATTTGGTCTCTTACAAGATGCTCAGTAGTTTGAGTTATTAATAAGCGTATTTTAGGAAGGATTAATATCATAGCTCGGTAAATTAGTTACATTTCTTGCTTATACAGGTTTAGTCTCATGATATCTTAAATTATGTTCCTACAGTAAGTCATTGACTGAAGTAACGTTTAGTGATACACAGTTTACAATTGATTGATCAGTGAGTTGTGATAAGTATCATTTATGCCAAATTCTTCTTAGTGCTAATAGAATTTTACCCATTAAGTTACGACATGGTCACTAGTCTATGTGAATTGACATTATATGCACTCTGTCAAGATGTACAGGTATGCCGTGCTGACGGATGGAATAAAATGTAAATTAATAGTCATCTATCAACTAACTCCAACAGCCTTACATCAATATGAAGTTGAAAGTTTTAAAAATCTAACTAATAATTAGTGTAAATTGATACAGCGAGTAATAGCTCAAATAAATGTAATGAGAATGATATATGAAACTAATTTTTTCAATCGTGTGTGACATGTATTCATTATATCTTAAGAAGGATTAAATATGTTTAGTTGTATAATACTGTAAATTTGTGTTCGTATAGTAAGTCATTGAATTACTCGATTCGATTTATACAAATATGACTGTTAATCTTATTGTAAATCAATCATATAAATAGTGGTCTATTCTTAAGTTATTTCGATCTATTTTAAGAGTCAACCAAATCTTTCTCACCAATCTTCTACTCACTTCTCTTGTATTCAAGTTGCTATGTAGATTCAGCCTGAAATTAATTAGAAGAGTTCCAGTTTGAAGATATAAAAATCAATAGTCTAAGATATAGTTTTCAATCTATTTCCGATGAACCTCTATCTATCATATTCCATACATAGAACCATATCAGTTTTTGTTATCTCCCGATAAGAATAATGAATGGTAATTCTTGGGATTCATTTATGGGCCAATACTATGAGTACATTTTTATCGTGTACTTATTATATAACTAAACTGTTCATATTCATGTCCCTCTTATTATGAGTTTTATTTCGACCTATGAACTATTATTATACGATTTACCATTCTTGAATTATTCCCTGTCTGTTAATCACTACCTCCCTCAATCACAGCCACTTTTGGCCAGATATTGTACAAATGTTATTTTCTACTTTATGGTACGTTGTGGTCTATCTGGTTGATATATAAACCGAGTATGTTTGAAATATAATGATTCATATTGCAGAGACTGAGATTGGTGTTCTGGACTCAACTGGCTGGGCTAGGCAGAGAGCAGGATCAATCAGGACCCTAGGCTAATCGCACGTGTTTTATGCGTCACTTGTTCGGTCGATATTTCGCTGCTCTTTGACTGGCAGTGTCGTTGCGTTATACAATAAACAGGGCATACAAGTTCACAAGTTACAACAGTTTTCTATCCAGTTTTAAATTTTCATTGTCTCTCAACAAAAAAGATTCATTCAATCCAATTAAACTAGAATTTCGATGAATGTTTGTTGTCGTTTTATCTTTAGTCAGAACAATTCATTTGAATTCAGTAATATATTTCTTTTCTAATATCAAAACATACATCTTGTTTCTCTACTCTTTATAATACCAAAACGTGCTTGTCAATAGTGACAGAATTTATGATAGGCATAAAGTATACTTCAATGAACACAGTCACAATTTGACCAAATGTATATAATATATATTACTGATTATCTGAATTTACAAACTAAGACATTCAACGAATAACATATTTTGAAAGATTTTTTATACAAAAGATAGTATGTAATTAGATTATTGATTATAATTAATTGTTTAACAGAAAACCATGACCATTATTATTATTATTAAATTTTCATTGAAAAATCTAAGAACATGAAATCAAATATAAAAACAAGATAAATGTGACAATAAATTTATGCGACACAGTTATACTACTTTTTTAAGAAATAAGTAATATACACAGATGAGTAACATTTTTTGCGAAATATTGAATGATATAATGTCATGTAATGTATAGTGAATTAAAAGAAACCAACTTATATTCAATACAAGAACGGTGAATTCTATTAAAAAATATGTGCAGTTGTTCAGACAATCTGTTGTTTTGTTATACATATACAGTTTATTTGTTGTTTTATTAAAGACAACTAATATATGGATGAATAATTATGAAAGGATAAATTTACTTCCAACAAAAAAGAAAACCAAATATCATGTCATTATAATTTAGATATTCCAGTTTTTAGTGCAGATTTCAATGGCGAATGTTGCGTGGATCCAGATATTCTATTCGCAGCTGGGGATGATACAGAATGATTTAATATTCGTGTTGGTGAATGAGTAGTACTGTTTACCATATATTCACCGTCTTCATCTTCCTCAGTATCTTCATCATCATCATTTTCTGTGTTATCTTCTTCGTCGAAATCATCATCATCTTCGAGATCTTGTAGACCATTCACTGAGTTTCTATTATCTAATTTTTCTTGAACATTGTGGCTACTGCTAATATCATCGTCTCCTTCAGTAAATAAACTTGTTACATCATCATTCTGCTTTAGTATTTCCGTTCGAATAAATGTTTGTGAACGAAAAAAAGTTTAGAAACAGAACATGAAATAACAACTCAATGAAAAAATGAAAATCTTCCAATTAAATATGTAAAGAAAGTATAAATCATGAATTCGGATGATTGATTGTATGGACTGGAACTGGTTAGGAAAAAATAGTTGAATAACAACTGGACACCCTATCCGAAAATATTCACTTAATCCCTTTCATCGATGTAGAGGAACGCTTTTTTGCGATGGAATCTAAGTGTCATGCAGTTTGCTTCTCATTAATATGATGTAATATGAGGTCTTGAAGGAACTGATGATCCTCATTTATGTTGAACACGCATTTTCTCAGTGACAGAATTAAAAGTGTTTCCATTATTCTATTCAAATGGTGACTGACTTCCTGTAGAACTAAAATATTTTGATTGCCTATTTAACCTACTTTTTCATCTCAGTGAGTTGACTAAAGTCTATTTATCATTTTTCAACATCATCATCAGTCGAATTTATTTAAAATTGAGTAAACAATGTTTTGACGTTAGATAGAACCGGTGTAAATATCGAGAAGTGATTAAATGCAGAAAAAACCAGGATAGAACTATTATATTTCAGTAATATTGGCAATGAAACTGTGCGATTACTGAATACAAATTAATCGAATGTTAAGACTGACTGAAAACAAGAGCAATAATTCATTACCCTTAAGGTCACTTCAATCGTTAGTATGAGATTCCTCAACAGTGCGCATCCACAATCTCGCACGCGGGATTCAAATCCAAGACCGGTTTTGCACGTGAGTACCTAATCTCTAGAACATTGAGCTAAGAAGTCCCATACTAGGACGAAATGATCGTCCAGTGCTTTCTGGTTTTCAATGATGGTCTAACATTAATCCATTCGTGATCTCAATCAGAACTGTTTAATTTTTATATTTAGTGGTTCAACTGTGAAAATAATATTATTGTATAATATTCAGCTGGTCGTTCAGATCTTAACCAGGTCATCTACACTTACCTACATGACTAAAACCAATAGTAATTTTTTGGAATGATAGATACATTTCAGTTTGGCCACTCATAGCTTTTTTCCAACTTGCTCCTATACACCAGCTAACATTTCTCTTTGAAGTAGACAATGAATAAACATGTGTAACACATGTCCTAATCATCTTAATCAATGAAATAGTTGACTGAATATTAACTTGTCTTGTGAACAATATAATATATTTATGTGTTAAAATAATATATGTATGATAAAGGCAGCTGTGGCATAAAGAATTACCTGATGTGATATGCCGGAATGTTGTTTTTGTTGCTGTAACTGTTGGGAGTAGGACAGTTGATCGTGTTGTTGTTGTTGTTGTTGTATTTGACCTTGTAGTTGTTGATTCTTTTTTTTATTACGACCTAATGATGTTAAACTACAACGACTACCAGTTTTCATTGAATTCATTGAACTATGTACAGATGATGATGGCCGATACGATCGATGATCTCTTATTGATATTGGCGGAGAAATCATTGGTGACGATTGATCACCAATAGTTAGACTTTGTTGACTGATTGGAAGATTATTGTTATTATTTAACATGGTTAAATTACTTCCAGAACGTAGTAGTGTACCACGAAATTCAATTAGATCTGCTTCTTCATGTAATAATTGAATTGCATTATAAGCTGAAGTTAATGTTTCCAATGCTTTAGCATGCCACAACATTTCAATTTGAATAAAATCTGTTATAATTCTCTAAATAAAATATCAAATGCAATTAATAATTACAAAAATAATTCACTCTTTTCATGTCATGAAAAATCTTTATGTCTAAATTTGGATGAATATATTAGTATGAGGTCGTGGAAGTTGCCGAATTTCGTTCAAATATCTAACCAATCAAAATTAGACAATTATTGAGAACCTGAAAACACTGGACGGTTGCTCTATCCTAGTGTGGGACTTCTAGGCAGTTCATATCTATAACCTCGCAACCGGGATTCAAACCCAATACCTTCGGTCTAACCACGCAAACGCCTAACTTCTATACCACTGGTTCAAAATACAGTCGTTTACAAGTCTAACTTCAAACAGTCCACGATGATATGCGACCATCTTTTATTGTCTTTGATGAATACCTTCATCAAGCCTGACAAGGTTTAGCTCCACTGATCATGGCTTCTCACTAGAAACATGAATCATTGATCAAGCCGCAGAATATTGGCTTTATCAGGAATAGACTCGAATGAGTTATTATTATTGTTCATTATTTCATTTTTTGTTTAACTATATGATTTATTAAAATTAAAGATTTTCATTATTGACAAGCTTAAAGTAAATAACAACTGAAAAAACTGGCAAGCATTGAAAAACGGTTTCATTTGAGTGTACACTTCCTTTAAGATAGTGTACACTTATGATTTAAAACTTCTTGTTATTTTAATCAGAATTAATAATACTAAACTAGGGGGATTCTAACTAAGCGACTGATCACTTTGAACAATAATCCAAGTAGGCTTGGATAGCGTTTTTTTTTTTTAGATGTAAAGTGTTTTAGGGCTAATCTGTGACAACCCTTGAACTAATGATAGTTTACGAATTAGTTGAGAGCATCGACCACTAGAAAGTGTCATCAGCGCCGCTGGGTTGGTGTCTGACGAAATATTGGAATAAATTCAGAAAGCGTGGTTGACTTTTGCCAAATTACATTATTTGTGACATAGGTAAAATTTCCGTTTTGTTGCTAAACAAAGACTGAATATGATGTGCAGCGGTCCATTCCGTTCAACTGTATGGATGTAAAAAGAGGCCTTTGAAAATAAAAAAAATATTTGTGGATTACTAGGATTTGATCATAGACGTGTTCGAGGTCTCTATCACTTATGATGAGATTACGGAATGAACAATGCTGGCGTTAGACACAGAGTGCTAGATAAACATGTCAAATTAGTTAGTAAGGTAGTGAGTCTTCATTGACATAAATGATTGAGATATGAATCATATCTCCCTAACCATAATCTATTGTAACCCGCTGTTTACCGACTTGAGAGAAAGTTGGAAAAAGGCTAGAGGAGACCAAACCAAGACACGAAATCAGTTCGTGAAGTCTTTGACTATTGGATAGAGACATTAAACAGATGTAAACTACTCGGTTCAGATTCGTTTTATTACCGTTGTGGTGTGTGTTACTGATGTCGACAGATATAAGTATAATAACTATTATAGAAATAGATTTTAGTATACAATAGGTCTATTGTATGAAAAAGGTTAATAAATAACTTATGCACTTACTTTTAAACCTTTCAATCGACGACCTTCAAAATCAAGTACACAACGTTCTAAATTATTTGCACTTCTAGTAGCATCAATCATTGCATTGTGTAATTGTATTTCAGCCTTAAAGTCAAAATTAAAAATAGTTATATGATACAATACAACCTAGCCAATCTAGCTTCTTGGTGATTGTTTTGGAGACCGTTGTATTTCAAATTATACATTATAGACTGACTTCAGTTAAACGACTATTAAAAACCAAGAGACACTGGACAACTGTTTTGCCCATTATGGGATTCTTCAGTAATGCACATCCGAAACAATACAAAAGATCATACCCAGATTCTTTAGGCTTCAAGGCGAGCCTTTTGTAGATTTCAACTGTTAAACTCTTAAAAAAATATTACCAATGTAACTAA